GCCAGTCTTGGGGACTGGAGTTACATGGACACTCCCCTTGGGAGGACTGCTGATCCTAATAGGTGAAAACCGGGCCAAGTGTGCGCTTGGGCACTTCTATACCCCAAGGAGGCCTAAGACCCTTTTACACTTGGGGACTTCTGTCTGACTTGGGATCTTCCAAGTCTGAAGGCACCAGCAGCAGTTTTGTGGCCCCTCTGCCCATGAAACTTATGCCCTAATATGTGTGGCCAGGACCTGCCTCTTGGGGCCAGAAGACCATCTGAATATGGTGTTTATATTCCATTTCTGTGTCCTTGAGGGATTTGGTACATGTAGGGGTTTGGATGAAAATGGCCCTCGTAGGCTCATAGGCAGTGGCACAGTTAGGAGTTGTGGCTTTTTTTGGAATAAGTGTGTCACTGGGGTTGGACTTTGAGGTTTCAGATGCTCAAGCTAGGCCCAGTGTCACTTTCTCTTCCTGCTGCTGCTGATCCAGATGTAGAGCACTGAGCTACTTCTCCAGCACCACATCTGCCTCCACGCTTCCCACTATGATGATAATGGAATAAACCTTCAAACTGTAAGCCAGTTCCAATTAAATGTTTTCCTTTATAAGTTACTATGGTCATGGTGTCTCTTCACAGCAATAAAACTAAGACAACACAGGTCTTAGTCCACAGAGCATGCTTATAAAGTATGGTTTAATCAATAAATAAATTATGTAAATATTGACTATATTTTTTTAAGTCAGTGGGCAAGGTGGTGGCCTGAAGCATTTTGGAAATTTTCCTTCCATCTACAAACAGGTATCATGGGTAAAATTTAACATGAAAAAGAACAAAGGAAAGTAAGAAGAAGCCTCTAGCTCAGCCGAGGAGCAGGAGACGGTGCTAACAAAATGCCCACAAGTGTGGCATACAAACGACAGCTTGCTAAGCCTGCAAGAGGCTCCTGCAGATGTCAGAGGTCAAATGACGTAAGATGATAAAAATTGCACTCCCAGGCCTGGGGTTTTACCCCAAGGTGTGAGTATTAACCTCTGCCAGGAATAAAATGGGAAACTCAGTTCTAAAAAGCGAATTTTAAAGTGGTTAGGATTCCATCTTCGTTCTCCAGGCTATAGTGAAGACGGGGAGAGAACTCCAAAACCCTGCTTCTATCTGGGACTCTCAAGGGCTGCAGCTTCACCATAGGCTTACAGCAAAGAAACTGCACAGCATGCCAGGGATGCATCATCACGACAGAGACGGCAAGCGTAGAACACTTGTGGGAACTCAGAGACTACAGCGATCCAAAGAACAAGTGTGGTTGTCTCAGAGTCAGCAGAAGAATGGCTTCTGGATCTTCGTGGACACCAAAATCCACAGCTGCTCAACCTTTGTATACATTGGTGCTGTGTTTGCACAGAATCTTCACACATCCCACACTTTAAATCATCTCTCCAGAGCTTATAACACTTAGCGTGACGTCAATGCTGCATGCATGGCTGTAACATGATGCTGTACAGAAACAGTGACTCCACAGAACTATGTTGGGCACAGACACAGCCTTTTCTGGCATTATTGGTCTCCATTGATTGACTATGGCATAGAGAAGCCTTGTTTAACAGAAGGCTGACTCTGTCTAAAAACTAGAGAGGACCGGATGGAACCTACAGCACAGGACAGAGCAGGATGGAATAAGGAAGCTTGATTTGAAAAAGAACTAAATGGAAGTAGTAGAGACAGGAAATTGGCCAGCCATTGAACAGAAGTGGCAGAGTTTTGATTGCAGCTGGGAACAATCTCGTTCAACTGGGTTCTTGATCTGTGATTTTAATAAAGCCACCAGACCCTGAGCTGACAAGGTTCCAACTCTAGGGCATCCTTAATTAGCATCAGAGTGGAAGGTTCTTTGAAAACTGGAACAGGATGTCAGGCCATTCCAAATGGCTTCATGCTGTCCCCAAGACAGATCTTCGGAGCACTTGGAGCATGGGGGGGACGGTGTCACCTATGAGGGCAGAGAGGTTAATGCTTGGAGTGTGGTCCCTTCCTCCCATCTGTACATCCTGGACGCAGCTTAACCCCCAGAGACATCTGAACACTGGCGATGTGGCAGCAGAGGGGGTGTGTAGCTCACAGTCTTTCCACTGTGGTTTGAACGAGACATGTCCCCACAGGCTCATATGCTGGGGTCTGAGTTGCTAGATGACGGGCTTTGGGGAAATGCTGGGATCTTGAGAGTTCTGACATAACCACTATACTCAATCTCTTGATGGACTCACAGTACAGTGGCATTATTGAGGGGTGGTGGAAGGAAGGTGGTGGTGCCTGACTTGAGGAAACAGGACACTGGAGCATGCTCTTGTGAGCTGTAGTCAACCCTGGTTCTTTTACACTCCTTTCTCTGCCTCGTGGCGATCGCGTGGTGAGAGGTTTTTGCTATATGCTGTTGTCGCCCAGAATCAGTGGACCCAAGGGCTATGTCAGAAACATCTGAAACCACGACCTGAAATAACCCTTTCCACGCGGAGCCTGACCACCACACCCTCCCCGCTGGCGAAACATCCTGTGGCTGTTTGGTGAGAGATGAGCGCAGTGGGGAGAACCAAGAGGACTGTGCGTCTTACCAGAGCCAACCGTGTGGCACTGGGCTGTGCACTGGGGTTTCAGGCCTGTCTGTTACTTACTGGGTCCTGCTAGCACACATTTCTCTGGCCTGGCTTTCTCACCTGTGATACAATAAGAATGATCTTCAGGTTGGGTTTGAGCTCCCAGCAAGAACGTGGAAAAGGTGCCGGGTATCAGGTGATGCTTAGTGGCTGTGGCGATTCTGCCTCTCTCTCTTTCCTTTCTTCCAAGACTGAAAACTTTGGCAGAATCCAGTCCACAGCCTGCTAGCCTTGGCTACAAAAGGTGAGCAGAGACGGCCTGTCTCCTGAGCCATTCATTCACCCGGTCATCGCATGACCCTCACCCTCTGGTTCTTGGTTTTCTCCTTTCAGACTCTAGGTCGCCTGGCCTTTCCTCTTCTCTCCAGCTTCGTCCCTCCAGATGTGTGGTGTCTCATCTGAGGCTTCTACAGCGGCTAGTTCCTCTTCCCAAAGAATGGAGCTCTAATGGCATTTGGGGCTCACCAGTACCATCAGACACCACTGTGGGTGGCAGCAGAAAACGACACAATTCCGCCCAGTGAGATCCAGGTTCAAGTTCTGAGTGGGAACACAAAGGCACAGGCTCGCTGGGAGAGCATCTCCCTCCTCCGGAGTTGCCTGTTCTTGTGCCTGAATGGTAAATGCAAGGCCTGTAGGTGCCGTGGCCATCTTGTGATCAGGGGAACAGCATCAGGGGAACAGCATCACCAGCACACGTAGAGTAGAGAGGAGAACCCTGCCTGTGGGGCAGGTCGACCTTCCCTTCCTACTTCTGGCTGCACGGCCTCAGGAATGTTTAACTCCCCACAGCCTCTCTTTCCTTCCCATAATCTGTAAAGGGAGGACTGAGATCTCCACCATGCACAGCAGTTTTGAGACTCAAATGCTGTGATGGGCAGGAATCCACCTTCTCCACCATGCTTACACCTCATGCCGTAGTCGTCTTAAGGCAGAAATGAGTAATTGTGACTTTAAGGCAAAATGAAGGAGACCATTTGTTTCTCCTCATAAACATGGCCCTTATGTCAACCGGCTCAGATCTGTAGCCCATCAGCTATGCAAACAGGAAGCAACTATCCAAACATTTGGAGCTGCCAGGGTCAGCCTCTCCCAGCTGTGAGTGCCTCAGAAGTCAAGGGTGAGGTGCCTCCTCTGAGGGCATAAGTTCAAAGCCACCTCTTGGGCTTACCACCCCCACCCCCACTGCCTGGCTCAGATCACCCTCTCTCGGGGAGAATTGTCCTCACTGGCCCCTCTAGGCCATCTCCTATTCTTTGTCCCTCCTCTCTGCCCTGTCACAGCTGAAACGGGGCAGTTTTTGTTTTGTTTTTGTTTTCTTTCTGAAATGCAATCTGCTTGGGCCACCCTGGCTTGAGACGTTTCCCGTTTCCACGATTTCATGCTCTCTAAGGAGAAGATCAAGGTTATGCTCCTACTAGGCTCCAGATGCCCAGCCTTTCCCGGCTTCTCCAGCTAGATTTCCCCAGCTATACTGACTTCCATTTAGTTTCTGGAATGTGCTATGGTGGCCCTGAGGGTTTTGCCCATATTGTTCCCATTTTCTCAGCCTTTTGCTCCCACTTTTGGGGCAGGGGACGGGCTAAGCCTGCAGCAGGAACACAGCTGCCCCAGGCTCTAGCTGTCCCTTTCTGCCACCTCCTCATATTGTCCCCTGTGGAAGGCTCATGCTCCCTGATGGCAGCTCACCAGGGATTTTGGTCTGTCTGGCTCAGAGTCACACCCCTCACCAGGTAGGCAGTGGCCCAGGGAAGGTCTCAGCGCATGTGCAGGTCAAGGAGAGCACCCAGCACAGCCAGGCAGAGTCTCACAGCTGTTCTACTCTGCAAAGGGTCCAGTCTGCTCCACCCACGAGCAACAGCCTGGAGAAAGCTGGTGACTTGCCAAAGTCACACATCTGTCAGTCGTCTTGCCAGAATCAGTGCCTTCTCCCGAGTCTAGCTTCCTGCCCTGATCCAGACAGCACAAAAGGTCACTCTAAATCTGTTTCCTATCTGAAGAATGGGGTCATAACAGGCCCCTCTTTTCTTGGCTGTCCTAGGATTAAGGGCTTTGCTCAGGGCCCTTATGCAGCATGCAGTCAGTGACAATCAGGATCAAATTGAAGAGCTAAGAATGAGTGTCTCTGATTGCAATCTATGAGTAGCAAGTAAAAGGATTTCATGGATGAATAGGAGGGTGAACGGATAGAGGATGAACCAATGGACGGTAATGGAGTCCACAATGATGTAAGAAATGGAAGAACCTATGCATGAATGCCAGAAGACAGAAAGAAATGAACACTAGAGCGCTTGACCGGGTTGCACACTTAGGTTTAGGGAACGGACCCGCATGGTCTTTTCCGCGCCAGTTTCGCTCTACTCACCTGTAACGTCGGAGCTCCGCCTCCAGTCGCTGCACTTGGCGCTGCATGCGGGGAACGCGCAGCGCCAGCGCCTCCAGCTCCCGCACTCGGTGCAAGCTGCGCCGCACCGCCTGGCGGGCCTCCTCGGTGCGCAGTCGCACCTCCACCTGACCGCGCTGCAGCCGCCGGGCGCGCGCCTCTGCCTCTGCCAGCGCTCCCTGCGCGCGCTGCAGTTTGTGCGCCGCTGCTTCCGGGATGTCCGACTGGCTCTTCCAGAGGCCGACCTGCCCGCGGGAAGCAAGAGTGAATACCCACTCCAGGAGCCTACCGGACCTCCCCTTACACCACAGAGCTCGCTCACTGAGCAGGGGCACGACCAAATAATGCACGTGTGTGTGCAACACCCCTCCCCCCACTGAAAGCAGGGACAGAAAGTCCACAGTCTGTTCTTTGTATAGTGACAGTAATTCCCCAAAGTCGTGACTTCGCGGCCTAACTTATGCATCCAACGTTTGCTCCTACTTCTGTGGACTCAAGGCACGGCCTAAACATCAGACGGGTGTTGCCGCCCTTCCTGAGATCTATGTACTAGGTCTGTCTTGTTTACTGCAGTGTTCCAAAGCATAGAGGGAGCTGGCACAATGTACCTAGAAAATACTTGAGCGTGAAGGATGGACAGACTCTTTTAGTCAGTTTCAGGCACCCCACACATGACTGCGCCCTTCGAGGGTTCCCTGTGCCCGGTCTAAAGCTTTCATGCCACACATACGAACCACAGAGGCCATCTTGCCAGTTTTTAAAAAGTATTCTATTTTATTTTAATTTTTGGTTCTCTTCCCATAAGGGCCTTTTTCTCCCTTTGCCGACCACCTGCACTGCACTCAACACCAAGTTGTGCACAGAGCTCAAGTGTTCGTGGACTGATCCCACAGGCCAGGCTAACTCTGCAGTTAGCCCAATGCCTCCACCTCAGTAGCTCTGAGTAGGCCTGGCCCTCAGTGCTAGCCATCCTGTGTCTTTCTCACTTGTGTTTGAAGCCTGGCGCTGAGGGATTCCACAGGTTTCATTGACATGAGGAAGGGAGGTCCTCTTCTCTGTCTCCCCTAAACCTCCCAGGAGAAGAATGCTTGCTGACCCGTCATTATGTGACTGCCTAGACAGGTTCCTTCTTGGGTTTAGAAGGGACAGGGCTGTGAAGCTGGAGTTTTAAGGAACGATAAACTGAGGTGCAAGTTGGAATGAGGGGGGTGGAGTGGGGGAACGGTGAGGGCCAGGGGAGGAGGGAGTGGGCCAAGGTGGGGATGCTGTCTCCACCCCCGGCATCCCGCGCACCTGCAGGGCCAGGCAGCGCGCGTCACTGCTCTGCAGCGCAGCGCGAAGGTCCTCCACCAG